TCGTGTCTTTGGGCCATATCAATCCGGTAGCCTTGACGCTGAAAATGGGACAAGGCAAGTCAGCCTCGCTCTATCGCTGCACTGTGCTTCATATAAACAAAGTATTTGTATATTTTTGGGAAATAGAAGCTACCCATCTCTTGAGTTGAATCAAAGAAAGCAGCTCAAAAGTAGTCCATCTAGCACCGTAGATGCAAACAAATGACGATAGATTGCGTCAATTTACTCATTACAATAGGCTCGCTGCTCCGATGACTTGTGCCCAACTCTCACAAAAGATAAAAATGAAACGTAAACGAAGTCGAAAACTTTACTTACCAACTGTAGAGAGAGGGATTTCGATCAAAATCAATCTAAAAGTAGTCTCCGATGCCAAGCGAATTGATAATTGCGGTTCAGCTTAATTGCTAATATCATCATTTCAGACGGCGAAAGCCGACTAATTGGCAAAGCCTTGACTGTTTCTGTGGCAAGCATGCTTGCAACGTGTTGAATTAGCGTTAGCCTCTAAATTTGTGCCTTGGAGACTATTTGTAACTTGATTATAAGTTGAATGCTACTTTCGTAGCCAGCCTCTGTTCCAGAACGAAGATGCCGAGCTCGTGGAAACCGAGGATTCCGGTCAAGCCTACTTCCATTTCGAGGGAAAGTGTTCAGTGAAGAGACTCGAAGGTCGCTTCCACCAGAAGACGACGGCCGATTCCTCTTGACCAGCTGTCGATTGGCTTTATTGGAAGATTCATGCCGACGCTGTTTCCGAGGCAATCTCACTCGATTCCGGTGAAAAGGTGATAAGCTTTCGTCCGTCATGTGACGAACTTCATCACAAAAAAATTCAAGCTAGCGACCTACGAATCTCTTCACCCAAAAGTTTCATTCGAAATGGAAGTAAACTCAACAATTATGAAACAAGAGAGTCCCCGAAACCCAACTTTTATTGGAATTACTTATGCTTGATTGATGGATTGAAGGAGAGAGAGAGGGTGCAAGTGAGTTTCCTTGACTCGTCAGCTTGAATTTGGTTGTGACGATGATACCTTGCTCTGATGATGTCCGTCATATGACGGGCGAAAGCTTAGCACCTTTTCACCGTAACCGAAAAAGATTACCTCAAAAACAGCGCCACCATGAATGTCCCCTTTTAGCCAATCGACAGCTGGTCAAGAGGAATCGGCCGTCGTCTTCTGGTGGAACCGACCTTCGAGTCTCTTAACCCAACACTTTCACTCGAAATGGAAGTGAGCTCAACAATTATGAAACAAGAGAATCCTCGAAACCCAAATTTTCTTCGCATAAGCTGTCTTTGGTTGGGCTGGGCTTCGCGGTGTCCCTTGCAAACCAGCGGGTGTCAAACTAGCTGTAGGCTGAGGATACTACTTAGTCTTATTAGTAGTCTGCTACTTACATACGAAAAATAGTATTTTGCTGCAAATATAAGTCAGGCGGGCTTTGAAGAGCAGATAAAAGTGAGCAAGAATTGTGCTGATAGATTTTCATAAACCAACCAACGGTCGCCTGACTACAATCTTGGTTGTCAAGACATGTTTTTCAATGCAAAAGTGTGTCCGAGGCAGAGAATTGTGGCTTCATCTTGTAATAGACGACGTCGAATTCCAATTGCATTTCTGTAATTTGATTTTACTACGACATTCCGCTTGATGCATTCAAAAAGACGTCACCAATCAGTCGCGTCAACTGGCAGACATTATCAGAGCTGAATGTGAATCTTACAAAAATGTCAAGCCAACACTAAATCAACAAGGCCAACCAGCTCTCTACTCACATTGAAAAGTGAGTAATCACTATACAACTATAGTTCTATATGGATATATATAGAATACTTTCGTAATTTCGATTTCATATCGTTCTAGGCATTTGTATGATTTACTGTATTTGTGAGTGTGTGTAAAATAAAAGATCAGCGTAAATAAATATCAGCCATATTTCTGAGTAATTGGATCTCAGCATCAGGCAAATCCAGGGTCGTCAAGGCTAAATTCTCAGAGAAATGGAATGACTGCGGTTGCGTAATTGTGAACGTGTGTCTCGTTGAAATGATAGGCCTAAGGTATGTATGGAAGGTAAGATAATACAGTGGATGCTATCATCGAGTTGACCGGTTTAGTGGTTTTCTTTTTTTGTTGGTGATTCAAGGCACAAACTCAACCAACTATGCGTGGATGGCAAGATTTGGGGGCTTGATAGGAGTAAGAGGGAAGAGGTCATTTCTGACTAAACTTACATTTATTCTATGCGTCTCGTGGGCCCACATATCAAGTCTCGGCTTGCTTATTTCTCATCAAATATTCATACTCTTTTCAATTAATCCTTTAGAAACTGAGCGTCAAGAAATAACTGCTCAGCATCCGTCAGCTGATTTATATCAACTGTATGTATCCTATCTATTTAAATGTAAATATAAATGGTTAAATAAGGATCTTATTATTATGCTTCACACTCGGAGGATTCAGTCTCACCTTTCGATAAAAAGTTCTATCTATTTATTACATTTTGTGTTTTGTATCAGCATTTTACATTTCTTTACTGGGGTTACTTTAATATCCGGAACATACTGAAATGTTCAAGGTTTTATTTTAAGCAATTGGATGAAATTTTTTAAGACGAGGAAAACTATTAAAACTGATGTTACTTAATGCTCTTTTTTATTTATGATTGCTATTTGCTAGCCAAAAACTGTATATGAATCCTTTCATAACTCAATGCATACACATTGCCTGGTGACTTGAGCATTTAGAAGATATGAAGACCAAGATGTTGTGGCCCTTTGGTATGGTCGCAGTCTCCTTTCGATTTATAGAAATGGGTTGACCT